GCTGACTCCCCCCCCCGCTTTGCAGATGGGGGGCCTCGGTCGGCCGGGTGGCGAGAGCCTGGTGGAGAAGGGCGCCGGCGGAAGTTTGACTTCGACTTTCGGGACCGTGAGGACGAGCCCCGGGGCGGGCGCCGGCACCGGCACAACAGCGACAGCTTCGAGGAGGACAAGGACGGCCTGCCCGAGTGGTGCCTGGAAGACGAGGAAGAGGAGATGGGGACTTTCGACTCCTCCGGGGCCTTTATGCCCCTCAAGGTGCCCCTCCTTTCCTGTGCCCTGGCTGGCTCCCAGCGCGCCCAGTGGGAATTCCTCCAAGCCCCCAATAGGGAGGGCCTGGCGGGGACTAGCAGCACCTCGGTTTGGCGGGAAGCCGCTCCTCTTCTTCCGTGGCAGCTGGCCTCTCCTGTCTGTCCTTGTCCGCAGAGATCTGGGGCAGTCAGAACCCCTCAGCCAGCAGCTCTGAGCAGGAGCATGCCGGGTTGGGGGGTGGGTAGGACACTTAGCTTGCCTGGCAAAGCTCACGCTGTTGTCCGGTCCATCTCCCCCCCCCCTTCCCGCTGCTCCTGCAGAAGAGCCCCAAAGAGCCCATTCCAGAGGACCAGGAGCTGAGTTTCCTTCCCTTGCAAGAGGAGGAGGAGGAGGAGGAGGAGCAGCGGACAGAGGCGAAGGACGGCGAGGGGGGAGAGAGTGGCAAGGCCCCTGTTGCCCCCACCGTCAAGGACGGGGCAGAGAGAGGTATGAGGCTGGGGGGGGGGCGGCACTGGAAGAACGGGGAAGAGAGGAAGTCTGGCGGGCGGAAGGGGTTGGCTAATCTGCGCTCCGCCTCTCTCTCTCTCTCTCTCTCAGAGCGGATGGAACTCCAGCAGGTTCCTGAGGAGAAGACGGCAGCCCCTCCTGGGGCTCCGTGGCACTCCGCCCCCCCTTTCTCCGCAGCCACTGACGCTGCCCCCACTGGTGAATGTGAGAGTGCCGTGCCAGGGACCGCCTCCAAAGCAGAGGGGTCGGCGCTGGCTGCCGGGTGCATCAAAGACATGGAAACTGCAAATGGTATGTGCCGGGTGGGGCAGCCGAGCTCCCTCTCCCCCCCCCCCCCCCCCCCCCCGGGGGGGCGTTATTACAAGTGGAGGGAGGTGGGGGCCTTTTGGTCCCCACTGATTTGGGGGGGGCAGGGCTCATTTTGTAGCAGGAACTCCTTTGCATATTAGGCCACACACCCCTAATGTAGCCAATCCTCCAAGAGCTTACAGAGCTCTTCTTACAGGAGCTACTGTAAGCGCTTGGGAGGATTGGCTACATTAGGGGTGTGTCGCTTAATATGCAAATGAGTACCTGCTGCAAAAAGAGCCCTGGGGGGGGGGAGACACACCCTGGCACAGTGGCTCACGCAGGCGTTGCCTCCTCATTGTCACCAAGCATCGCCTCCGTGTCCTCTTGGTGGCTGCTGGCTCTGGCCACCCCCGGGATGGGTCTGTGCAGTGGAACTGACCCTGCTCTCCCTCTCTCGGCTGTGCTCCCAGGGGCTCCGGGAATCCTGAGCCACCCGACGCGGATCAGCCCTGCTGCGGCCTCAGCCATTCCCTCGTCTGCAACTGCTGCTGCTGCTACTGAATTCACAGTTGGGGACAACGAGGATGAGGATGGAATGAAGCACCTACAGCAGGTGGGGAAGGGGGTACAGCTGAGCTGGGTTGCGTCAGAACCATCCCCGGCAGGAGGGGCTTTTCCTAGGGTTGCCAAGTACTTACCGTGAACATTCCTGCGTGTAACACACCCGCGCCCCACTATGGTACCATCGCGTTTTCAGCCCCATTGCCAGAGCGTCGCCCGGCTACGTGCACGTCTGGGCGACAGCATAGTGGGGCATGGGTGTTTTCCACGCGGGAATGGTCCTGCCGAGAACTATCTGTTTCCTACTGATTCGCAGCAAGTCCTTGGCAGCCCTAGCCTTTCCCGTGGGCCTTTTGGGGCTTTCTCCAGCTCTCCCCCAACTTTCTGTCCTGCCTGTCCTTCCTTGTGACTTCCTGGGAAGCAAAGGAGAGAGGCGGAACTTGTGGGAATGCTGGAGCCGTGCTGGTTTTTTTCTGGGTTTCAGGAAACATTGACATATACCTATGACTAGCTCTCCAGCACGGCTTATTTTAAAAAGTATAAAATTGCACTATTTGACACTGGTAGGCACTCATCTCTCCCCTTGCACTGTGGCCCTAGTTAGGATGGTTTAAATGCTCTCTGTAAACCGCTCCGAGCCTTCGGGAAGGAGTGATATATAAGCTGAAAGTGTAATGTAATGTAATGTTATGGAGTTTAGGAACAAAGATGCCTTAATTTTCACCAGCATAGATTGTAAATATGCTCTTTATTTGACAGAGGAAGCGACCAAGCACAGCCCCCTACGCCGCCCTTTAGTGGTTGCCGGGTTGGGGGAGGGGGAGAGTTGAATTTACGAAACAAATTTTGTGCCCGGCGAAAGAGAACGTGTGCGTTACTTCGGTAGAAACAAGTCCGGTAGAGGTCATTCTGCATATCCGGATATCAGACTAAAGTTTAACATTGAAAACACGGATTTCTTTAGTGGTGTACACTGTTATCATTTATAGAATGACTGATAAACATTTTCACTCATTATGTAATGTACAGCATTACATAAAACTTTCCCGCTATACATGTTGCGTTCATAACGTCTTGTCTTAAAAGGCACTTCACTCTCGTTGATGGAGAACTGTTTGTTTTCCTTGTGGGCCTTCTGTCTCTCTGGGGAAGCTTTTTGGCTCCTCCTGGAAATGGCTTGGCTCTTCTGAATTGTCCCCGGCAGTCCCAACTCTGTCTGGCTTTGCTAGTGAAAACCTGTGCCTTTGCCTCTCAGTTTGGTGTAGTGGTTAACTGCACGGACTCTAATCTGGGAGAACCGGGTTTGATTTCCCACCCCTCCACTTGCACCTGCTGGTGTGACCTTGAGCAAGCCGTAGTTCTGTCAGCTGTTCTCTCAAGGACAGTTCTGTCAAGAGCTCTCTCAGCCCCGCCTACCTCACAGGGTGTTTGTTGTGGGGAGGGGAAGGGAAAGGAGTTTGTAAGCCGCTCTGAGACTCCGAGTGAAGGGCGGGGGATAAATCCAATCTTCTCCTCCTCTTCATCTCAGTCAGTTCCTGTCCAGAAACTTGACTCTTTGGTGCCAGTTTGGCCAAGCTACGACAGATGCTTCCCTGATCCCCTTCCCCTTCCTTGTTGCCTTCAGGAAGCAGAGAAGATGGTGGCCTCCCTGCAAGACAGCTCCCTGGAGGAGGACCACTTCACGCAGGCCATCGGGGACCACCGCAACACTGCCGCGGCCCTGCCCCTCTCTCACGAAGCCGCCATGAAGTGGTTCTACAAGGATCCCCAAGGGGAGATCCAAGGTGAGCTGGGCCTTGCCTGACCCCCCGGCGGGTGGGGTGGGGCGGGATAGGGGGCGAGCAGGCCCCCCAGGTGACCGGCCTCTTCTCTTCTCTCCTCCCCTCCTCCCTGCCCAGGCCCCTTCACGACCCAAGAGATGGCCGAGTGGTTCCAGGCCGGCTACTTCACCATGTCCCTCCTGGTGAAGCGAGGCTGTGACGAGGGCTTCCAGCCCCTAGGTGAAGTCATAAAGATGTGGGGAAGAGTGCCTTTCGCTCCAGGCCCGTCGCCGCCCCCATTACTGGTGAGGAGGGAGAGGGCCGCGGGGGTGCTGAAGGTGCTTGGAGAGGGACGGGCACCAGAGCAGGCAAAGCCGGGGCTGGCCCACCTGCGCCCGCACCACAAGCGCCCGTTTGGAGCAGCAGCGCTGAAGCAGGATGTGACACGTGAGGTGCGCCACTGCGTCTGTTGCCATGTTGGGGAAGGGGGCGGGCAAGGGGCTTGGCTGTCCAGCAGGAGGATTCTGCCCCCCCCTTTCACCTCCCCGGGGAAGCTCCCTGGGGCACTTGAGGGGGGGAGGGGTTCCCTCCTCCTCCTTCTCCTCCTCCTCCTCCTCCCTCTTTTGATGGCATGGTGTCCCAGAGAGTCAGGCCGTTGGTGGGGGTCCGCCTCTTGGTGCTGCTCCAGCCCCTGTTTCTGGAGGAGAGGGGAAATGCCCGCTAGCCCAGTTCTGCTGGTCCTCAGGAGTCCCCGTCCCCCCCCACCCCACCCACCCCGGTTGCTCTGCTCCAGATCCTTGTGGCTTGGGGGCTTTCTGCTGCTCTGTGTGATGTCTGGCTGGGGTCCCCTGCTGGTCCCCCGGGAGGCACCTGCTCTGCAGGGCTCTCTGCCGTCCCCCCAGCGCTGGGCTTGTCATCGGGATCGTGTGTGCTCTTTTCTCTCCCGCTTGCCCAGGGAAACATGGACCAGGAACGCCTGAAGAAGCAGCAGGAGCTGGCAGCCGCCAACCTCTACCAGCAGCTCCAGCACCAGCAGCTGCTCCAGCTGGCCAACAGGTACTCTCCCCTGCTGCTGTAGACTTGGGAGGGGGGGCGGAAGCGGGGCCGGGTCGTTTCCTTGGCCGGGGTGACCAGAGGCTCCGTCGGCGTGCCTGCTCCAAACCGAGTGGGGAGGAAGATGAGGGTATCACACCGGGTGGACGGACGTGATCTCGGCGGGCTGATCTGCCGGCCACACTCTGCCGGCTCCCCACTATCTGGCTGCCTTTCTCCCCCAGCAGGCAGCAGTATGCCCAGTGTGCCCTCCAGCAAAAGGTGGCGACGGGAGATCTGACGCAACAGCAGCTGGCCACCTTCCTGCAGCAGCTGCAGGCACTCAAACCAAGGTGAGGCTGAAACGGCACATTCCTCCTCTCCTCCTTGTGGACGAGCCCCTGCCGAGGCGTCCTCCTTGCCTGGGCTGCAGATTGTGGGCTTCGGAGTGGGGGGAACGGGCGTCTTCGGCTTGCTCTCCTGACGGCAATTTGTACCAGCCCCAGACAAGCCTTGGAAACGGTCTGCCACTCAACCCTTGTCAAGCCAGCCTTCTCTAGGCCCAGGGGTGGGGGGGTGGGTGGGTGCCTAGGAGCCTGGGCTCCCCCACCGGGCTGGCAGCTGAAGCAAACTGGGAGCGACCGGGGTGTTTGTGTGTAGTGTGTGTGAGTGACAGGACCGCGTTGCCCTCTTCTTGCAGGGCCGGGGAGCAGGGGATGATTCCCTCTATGAACCGATCGATATCCGTGCCAGACGCCGGGTCCCTGTGGGACGCACATACCTCAGCCTCATCACAAGCAGGTCACGTTGCGCAGCGGGGAGGGGAGGGGGGAGGTTCCCAAGCACTGCCGGGGAGCTGGGCCTGGCCGTTAGCAGGAGGGTCCCTGGACTGCATGTCTGGGCTCTCGTGTGGTTTCCGGTCACAGTTCGGCCCTGTGTGAGATGGAAATCGTAACGGCCCACCTTGCAGGGTTATCGTGAAGACATACATTGCAAATAAGGAATGCACGCAAGTGGGTCCCTCTCCTGGAGTCCGGTGGCCTATCGTGTCGAAGCTAGCAGCAGCTTTTGGGTCACGCCGGGTCGGACCCTGGAGCTCACAGCTGGAAGGCTTTGCAACAAGCCCCCCTGGGGGGGCTGGTGACGGGGTCTGGGGTCTCTGTCTGGCCTCTGCTCAGAGGCCTCTCCCCGGTGTTTTCCAGCAGAGAGCCATTTCCAGGCCGCTGCTTTCCTTGGCTTATTTATTTATTCATTCATTAGATTTTTACCCCGCCAGGGGGCAGGCTCAGGGCGGCTTACAAGAGAACCACAGATAAAACAACAATATAAATTAATATATATATTAATATAAAATACACAGTAAGTTATTAAAACCATTAGCATAGCGATGGCGATGTGGCTATAATAAGAAGAGCAGTACCTCCACTATCGGCAGGCTGGTAAGACGCAGCTCCTTACCCATATGCCCGACGGGAGAGCTCCATTTTTGTGGCCCCGCAGAACCGCGAGAGGCCCCGCAGGGCCCTGATCTCATCTGGAAGCCCATTCCACCCGTCTTCTGGGTTGTTTCTCTGCCCAACTATCTCTTCTACGCAGCCAGTTAGTTTGACCTAATTTCTGCATATTTTGCAAACATCCTTTCTTCTTCCCTTTTTGTCATTGTGTAATAAACTATTTCACACATGCAAAGGAGTTTTGTTTAGGAATGATCCTTTGTTTCAGTCTGGACTAGATTATCTTCTGATCTGCTTCCTGAACATTTGACAGTGCTGTCAGTTTAGAAATTCTGTACACTTGCATAACTTGTATAAATCCCAGAATCTATCTTTTTCTGGTGATTTTTTTTTAAAAGTGTAGAATATTCTCTGGGGAATTGATGCTGTGGAGAAATGTGTGCCTGATACTGCTAAGAAAACTTGCTATGTGTAGGAGGTATAAATAACTTCCTTTTTACTTGCCAGTTTGTTGCTTCTGTTCCCACTGTCATTACTGGAGAGCAAAACTTGGGGTGGTGGTGGTGGAAGACTCTGACCCTAGAGACTGCTTGGCTGCAGTCTTCAGACCCCAAATGACATCCCATTCACACACTTCCTGCTGTTCATCATCATCTTGCATATATATGTGGCCTTAGGTAAGGGATAACAGTTAACTGTAGAGCCGCTCGGAGACCCCCTGTGGGGGGTTTGAGCGGGGTAGCAAGTCGAAAGTTAAATAAATAAATAAATAAATAAATAAATAAATAAATAAAATTCCAGTAAGTAGGAGCAGCCGCAGAAAAAGCCCTAGTCTAAGTCGATACCAGCCTGGTGTCCTTTCCTTGGTCGCTGAGAGGTCTCCCGCCTTCCCCTGTGGCTTGAGGTGGTTTTCAGCGGAGCTTTTTTCCGGTGGCCCCGGCCCAAGGCATGAGCAGGACTTTTCCTCTCCCTTTGCAAGCGCAGCATTTCTTCCTCCTCCCCGGTGAGGTCCAGGCGTGGTTTCCTCCTTGGGTGCCCAGGCCCCCGGGAGAGGAGTTTAAACCTTCCCCTGTTGTGCCTTGCAGGTGGTGAAGCCAGTTTATGGGATATTCCCATTAGTTCTTCAACTCAGGGTCCAATCTTAGAACAACTTCAACTGCAGCATAAAGTGAGTGGCGGGACCCGGGAGGGCTGGAGGGAGGGGGGGGGGCAGGGCCGCGCCCTGCCTGTGCTCAGCCACCCGGGGGTGCTCTTCCCCCCCCC